CTTCCGAGAATTTATAATGGGAAAATTTTAGAACGTAATAGCTCAACTAAAACTAGCCAAAACTAATTTGTATATAATAAAATTCCTATAATAACAATATTTCCTTGTTCTCAATAAGCTTAGATACTTATATAAAATAGTGAATCACCTTGGACTACTCAAAGTATTAATTTATTTTCGGCGATTCTACAGCAATTACTGATAATTGAAAAAATATTGTTCTGTGCGAAAGAACAAAAATCGATGGTGTGGTATACTTTGCTTTCATAGCGCTCTTAGAAATCTATGATATATCTCACCGTACTTCGGTATATACTAATTTCAAAAACGGGCCATAACACAACAGGGGTGAGAGTACTTTTCGAACATGCAACGGATTTCAACATATTAAGAGAAATGTCCAAATCCGTTAATGCCTGCGAAAACGTAAAATTTACAACTGTGGATACTAAAAGTGACATGTTTAAAGAAAGCAACATCTTCAATTCATTGTCCGCTGACCGCAAACAAACAATTCGTAAGGAGCTTAACTCTCGACTTGTTTCCGTCCAATTTGGCAGCATCGTATTATGTCAAGGTGAAACTAAATAGTGCCTTAATTGTCCAGCAATTTGATACACGCCGTAGGAAGGATACACGGAAACTGAATTTACGAACTGTTTAGATACGGTGTGACAAGTAAATTTCGCAGGGTTCGACATTGACGGATACTTCATTCAGTGAAATAAGGAAAAAGTAAAAAAGAATATGCTGAACTAATATTTCAATATGCTAACCGAAAATAATATTTCTGAATATTGCCCTAGTTAATAAATAATTTATTTGATGAATAATATAGACATGTTATATTTTTCTTGTTTCTACACTGTCCATTAATAATTTAACAAAATAGTTCCGGTTTTTTAACGTTCCAGTTAAGATGTTGTTTTCAAAGAAAAATAATTTCTATTAGTCATTAATAGTATACTATGCAAAGTGCGGTAAACGCCATTTGAGTCACGAGTGGAACGCAGCGAAGCGAGTGTTTAATAGACGAGTGACATTTTTACAAAACAACACGAATGCAGTTTCTGATATGACTGTCAGAATTGACAAACGTCGAAATTCAAGCCTTGTAAAATCTCCGAAAACATCCGATTGATCCGAAATCCGTTCGGTAATATCACGGAAATATCAAAAGGGTTTTGGATCCGTCAGACAAGAAACTTACGTGGTAAAGTGACGCTTTCCGCACGCTTGATGTGTAATTACATATTTTACAGAAGGGAGTAGAAAAAATCATAAAATCCAACATTTGTTTACTTGATAAAATTGCTTTATAAATACGTAAGTACTTAAGTATGAAAAAAAGTATAAATAAAGATTACACCTCGACATACTTTTTATAAAACTTCTGGATTCCTCCTGCGTTGGTTTTTGTTGAGTCGAACCAGCTAACGTTTCGCGTGTTGGCTTCTTCAGAGTTGTCAGTCAAGCAACAAAAACCGACGCAGGAGGAATCCAGAAGTTTTATAAAAAGTATTTTAGTAGCCTGTGGAAATTTCTTTGAAAAATACTTAGACATAACTGTTTTCAACAATATAAAACCGTTTTGTTTATATTTATACCTAGCAAATTATTAAGTAGGAATGTAAACTTCACAATGCAAAAATGGATGCACCTTTTTTGCTGTCGCTATGTACTTAATTCAAAAATTTGGTCTCTAAGATTGTAAAAAGCGTCTCAGAAAAAAATGCATTAAACACAAAAGTGTTATTTTGAACCAACATAACTCCTTAATCCGAAAGGCGTGGCAAGAAAACTGTAACACGAACATGTCGAAACACAAGAAAATACGTTCTTTTTCGGGAGAAACTCCCAGATATCAACTTTTATTACTCCGTTCCTATAATTTACCATCCCTAGCAGTGACGTTCGTTGGTGCTTTCGCCTGCTAAGTGAATTAAAATCAGTTCTGGATTTGTGTTTTCCTTCATTTGAAAAATTAGAGCCGTATCTCGTACGTCATTAAAATATACCTTTCTTCACAGTTACAATTCAGGCATAGACATGGACAATCTAAACAGATCGGTTTATGGGTCAACATAGAAAATTTTATCGGAAATAATATAACAACAATTTGTCTGCGTAGATAAATATAAGCTAACAAGTTTATAAATTATTTTACAGATAAATATTACCATTGATGGTTGTGATTCTTTTTGCTATAGGTATACACACCTTATGTCTCTTCATGTCCGCGAACTAAAGCAAAAAGATCAGCTTCGCTGACCTATGTTTTTGAATTCATATATAGAAAATTTTTTTGTGTCATTGTGAGGCGATATAAAAAGGAAACTTAATGTACCTGTTTGTTTGTTTAAAATGTAATGTACTCTTTCCTTGGTATTTCGAGATATATAAATAAGAATTTATAGAAATATTAAATCATCAATTAATATATATAATGGGTATATTAATACGTATAGGTCTCTAGGCATAGCTTTTTTATACTCAATACTGCAAAATACTAAATTATATGCACTGATCAACTACTCAAAAATTAATGGTCGTAGAAAAAGTATAATATGCAACACAATGATAAAGTTTTGCTCCGCTCGTGCCAAATCAAAGTCATGTCTAAAATGGTGTTGATTAAACTTGTTGCATAATATACTTTTATACTTCTTATACAACAAGGTTTTAAAATATGTCACAAAAAAGTTTGGGTAATAAAGTACATATGCAAAAAAAAATATATTTCAGCTAATTGTTTGATTTATTACTTGTAGTGATTATTTCTGATATTAAGTTAATTAAAATATTTTGCTTTTAATTATTTCCTTCGGTTATAATTTTATTCAACTTTAAAGAGAGTTAAGGGCCAACTTTCCTAGCCCTATTCTACTTTTAGGAATGCAAGTTTTAGAACCATTTAATTTGATCCTTGTCTGGATTATCTTTTCAAGTAGTTTCAAATGTTTTTTGCCTGACTAAAATGAGTTGAGTGACAGGAATTTACAGTTCCAAACCGGTTTCTCACTGGGGCTGGAAAAACGCTAATATCACTAGACTTATATTTCTTACTATGTGAAAATCATTTAATAAAATTAACAATCTCGGTCTAATTACCGTACGATTTTAGCTGTATAAATACATCGTATCAATCGTATCCCGTGGATATTTATCTGAAGCAATATATGCAGAACTGGTATCCAAGATAACTATCCATACAATCATACCACCAGTCCTACCGATTAAATCGCGACCATTAACAATTCAATAGAGCTTGTAAACAGTCGGAAAACTGTCAATTAGACTCTCAGATTGATAAAACCATTACTCCCAAACCGAAAACCTCTCATTAATACATGCTACTTATGTTATCTAATTGAATTACTCGACCTGACCACGCCCACATATCAGTAAACCACGTGCACGTCTCAATTCGCGACGAGCGCGCTTCCCCTCGATTCGGATTCAGCCAATGATGACCCGACGGAAGGGCGGACACGCCTTTCGGCTGAAAAGGGTTTGACGCCCGGAATTTGAAGAGTATCTGCGGCGGTGCCTACTTGCTCTGAATTTTCGAAATTGCACTTACCAAAAGGTATAGTTTAAATGAAGTTATTTTTGAAAAATGCGATTAATTGTAGTAACATTTGCAGACATTTGCTCTGAATACAGAGATCAGAGAAAAATAATTTTATTGGGTGTTTTATGCGTTCGTGGGTCATAATGGAAATTTAAATAATGAAACATCTAAGAAAAAATATTGAAAAGTAAAAATAAAGAATAAGTTTTTTAAAGTATTTATAATATTTATTAAATCATTAGGCCTAACATCTGATACCCAAATAACTGCTCGTAAAAAATTTTACCTCTAAAAATAGTTTTTAATTTTTTTTTGCGATTCCTGGTAAATTCTTAAATGGATAATATTAGATATCTATAACTGACAAAAAAAAATATCTATTTTAATAAAAACAATTTTTAATTGTACTTACAATTAGGGTTAAGTTATTGTTAGCTTTTGCTATATTTATATGATTTGTACGTACACATGCACCTGTTCAGTCGACGTTCTTGTTCAGATCACAGGCCTGATCTACGTTATAGTTAAATATACCGGATGATTCATTAATAACTGTAAAACTATAGAATCCTACGCTCGGAAGGTGTAACCCAAAGCATTTGAATAAAATGTTGATTTTTTATTTATTATTTTTTCGTTATTTAGAATGTAACGAAACGGTTGTTTTGAATTTGTTGGAATTAATTTAAATGAATAAACAATATGAATGCGATCTAAAGTTTCAATTGCACAATAGATGACATTCTAAGGTACACAAACTCCGACATAAATGTTCAGCTTATTTATTTTATCGTTATTAAGAAAGCAGAAAGGAGAATCAATAAATTTTATTAGAATAGCAGTTCGGCCAATGGTAACGACAAATAGTTTTAAAGTACTGGGCAAAAATATTTTTGAATTTAACAGCCTGCAAATCTGTAAGCGACTTTTTGTCTTAGCGATTTAGGTCAAATCTTTATATTTTGAGTTTAGTAGTCTATTCCTTATATATTTCCTATTTTTATTTAAATAACATTTCTTCAATACCTACTTAATACCTATATACAAACTTGCACTCATGGCTGGATATATTAATATATTACCTAAGGGTCAGTATTCAATAAAAAAATTCTTATGTAAACTCCTTAAAGCTATATTTTTGGCTCAAACATTTTAACAAATTTTGAGTGTGCGTTACAACGCGTTTAATTCGCAACGCCCCGATAAACTCGCATCGTTTCGTTCCGCTCGTCTCCGGACCCGCCACGCAGAGTGCCCCAAATCAATGCACCGCCGAGTATAGAAAAGAGATGGCAACACGTTGGTGGGTCGCGTTTGTAGGTAGGGCCAGGCGCATGCGGCCGTAGGCGTGGCGAAGAATCTCCTCTTCGTAATAAAGATGACTATTTTGAAATCTCACTCAGTTTGACAGGCACCGTTTTGCTGGTAAACACTTATAGGGTTGTGTGGTTCTCTTAAAAGTCTATATAGTGTCAAGTGGATAGTGCCGCGGTGTCGCAGCACAAAACAATGGCATTTGAGGACAGATCTAGTCCTAACACGGCTACTAGTCCGCGTAACGGACAAGGTAGCGAATCGGGGAGCGATTTTAATTCGCCAAATTCGCCGGAATCGTCCAGAACATCGCCGTATACGTGTATGACGATCTCTCATAGCCAAGATACCCCACATTATGCCCCTAGTCCTCCTCCGTCGTCGCCGCAACATTTCGTCGTTCCAAAAATAGAACAAACCGCCGACAGACCTTTCCTTAGAATAACCTCTTTCGCTTTGGCCAGTCCGGAAACGAGACAATCTCCGGTAAGCTTTCGGTCGACTTCACCGGTCGAGAGTATCGCTTCTTCGACGTCGTCGCCACCTCCTCCCGAACCCGTCATCCACACTCTGAAATATTCAATCAGAAACATTCTTCAGCCGGAATTCGGGAAATCGGCAGTACTAAAAACGAAAACCGGCCCGAGAATTAGTTTTAAACCGTACGAATCGGATAAAAACAAAACACAAAGCAACAGAAATCACCAAAAGAAGGAAGTAAATAATGCTCCTTTAGGGAGTTTGTGTCAAACGGTCTCGCAGATTGGGTTCAAAACGAGCGTCGTTTCCGAATTGAAATCGCCAGCGGGTTCAAACAGTCCGCCGCCGAAAACAGTAACGGGAAATTCCGACGAGGACAAAAAGGAAGGAAAAAACGTCCCTACTTTGTGGCCGGCTTGGGTCTATTGCACGAGGTATTCCGATCGACCGAGCTCGGGTAAGATTCGCTAATTACATATACAAATGTTGCTTACGGATAAATAAAAAATATGAGGTGGTGCACAAATTGGACTTTTTATTTAATACTTACATGTAATTTTTACTCTGCGTGCGTTAATAATTTTGGGTATACAAATGGGTATATAAATAGGTACATAGGTATGGTTTAAGAAAGCAAACGTGTGGTGGCTCTGATGACCCTACTACTTTTTCATAAAATGAAAGGTGACACAAGCAGAAATGTCATAGCTATCTTGTATTTTTTGATACAGGGCGATTTTTAGACATTCTTTGCCGTTTGTTTATGCGTTCCCTTATTAAAAAGATGAAAACTCGCCTGGATAGGGTTTGCCACACACGTTAATTTTGACAGGTAACTAACTCTTTGTTATAAATTGTATAATTTATGTCAAAAAAATTAAATGTATGTATGATGTATTTCTGAAAAGCTAACAAAATGCCTTCTAATATTATTAAAACATATGCAGGGTATTATTGTAAAGATAAAAGTTTATTTTAATATCAAAAATTGTGATTTTCAGAAGAAATCTATCTAAAACTAAGCTCCTACATCCTGGTAAGAAACACTATCCAGACCAGCTACAAAGAGTGTCTAAAAATTCAAAATTTCCAAAATCATGCCGCAACATTAGCTTTATTGATAAGGAAGAGACGCCGTCAAACCATCAAACGCACTCTACATTAAATGCCACTAAGCGAAGTTGGTGTTCAATTCTAAAAAATAAGTAAAAAAAATACTCGATATTAAAAGGACTTTGGTTGGATATATGAATTTGATTTGAGTTATTGAATTGTGTTTTAATATCTACTTTCTGAGAAATATTTGTAAGTGCACCCTAAAGTAGTTACCCAACACGCAACTTTTGCTTAGTTTTGGTTAGTATGGTAGCATATAGTATAGAAAATATTTTTAGAAAATCATCTGTGATTTTAACATATTTTAATAAACTCAGCGTTGTCAAAACTCGGCGCGATGCCAATGGCCACATTGCAGTTTTAAATTACACGATCGATATTTAGATGTTATATTTTTTTTCCAGTTTTCCTATTGTTATCCACTAAATTTCCACAATTTCGAGGGTTTTCTATTCTTATCAAGTCTGTTAATTGAATACATGGAACACAATATCTTCGAATAATTTTAGACCAATAAATTTAGGATTTTCATAACATGCTTATCCCGCCCTTCAAATTCAATACAAGAAAAGAATAATTACGTAAAATTTGTATTTGTGCACATGAGTTGATGATTTTGTTTTGTTTTTATTTAATTCGCATACAATTATTCAACTTTGAAACTCACCAATATCTTAGTAGTCCAAAAAGGACCATTCTGTGTTCTTTATTAAATTTCAAAAGGATTTTCGAAAGTCGATATTACCTAGTTATGGCTTTCGATAAATTAGACGGGAAATTTAAGTTGGTACGCGTGGTTTCTCGTAGAATGCGGCGAATAAATAGACAAACACACTTGTACCTATACACTAAAACACCGCAGATGTCACTAAATCTTTAAAAATGAAGTAACTATTTTTTAGATAATTAGCAACGTCTGTCCCCATGTGTTAATTATATGATTTAATTGAATTTAAGTGAATATTATGTATATTATACACTATAGATATGTGTTGTCCTCGAGAGCCATGTGCTGTTGTTATAAAAGAACTAATTAAATTAATTATAATAATTAAATGAAAATTAAAGGTTTTTCTTCATTTGAAAAATTTGGAAAAATTTTTGTCCAAGTCAATTACAAAATGAATTTATATAAAAAATACTCATGTATGCAAAAATGATGCAAAATTGGTTAAATTAATTTTTAATAACAATATAATCTTTATTTAGCATTATGCTATATAAAAAATACAAAATATAGTATAAGTACTAATTAATAAAAAAATATTTTTGGGACACTTAACAATTGCAAACTTTTTTACAATTTACGTTAGCCATTCATTGCGTTAGTAGTGAACATTCTCCTGATGCTGTTTGAAATTTTATTAAAAAATATTTCGGATAATAATACAAAATTATTTAAAATTTATTAATTTAGGGTTTGGCTTTTGCTTTACCTGCACATATCGATATTTCGCATGAAATTACCGACTTATTTAAAGTCGTTCTTGGAAGCACGAACTTTGAAAACCTTTCCATGTAATCAATCAATTACATGCCGAATTTTTACGTTAAACCTGATGGTATATGCGTGGCCTTACCAAAAGATTTAAAGAGTACCTACCTATAACGCTCGTTAAGAATTCACAACCTCTCAATATAAAAATTTCGATTGAAGATTTTTTTTCCTCAAAAGAGGCTGATTAATGGAAAGTTCATCACCATAACAATAAAACGTATATTTGTGTAGCAATATCGTAATATTGCAAATTTTAGTTGTACAACAATCAAATAAAAATCTATAATAATAATATAATCTCCGTATTATAGTTTTAAAGTTCACTCTAATTTAATTTGTTAACTTAAGGGTTTTCTTAGCTAGCTAATCCTAAAAAGACATCATCATGGATACCAAATTGTGACAAAAAGGGTCTACACTCCATTATGGTAACCGTTAAATTCAAAAATGTTTGCGTGAAGACTATCATACTCAACAAAAGACCTAGTTCTACAATAGCCTGGAAGCCTAGAAGCGCAGAGTACATTGCAAGGCTAATGTTTGAAAAAAAAATCGGACAAACTGCAATAAACTTCTTTTTATTAGAAATGTAAAAAAATGAATATTTAATCAATAACGGAATTGTTGCTACATATAACAAGACTGAATGGGAGCTTGCCTCAAAGGGAAGAACCGGATAAAAAAAGAGAAAAATAAAAATAACTTTTAAAAATTTAATTTAATTATTCTGAAAAGAAATTTTGTTCTGTTCTGTTCTGTTATTAATTTGGTGTCTAGTAAGACGATTCCAAATCTCTATTGCATAAATTATTATATTACGTAAATGTTCTCTGAAATAATGAAGGTCGATATTGTCCAACAGACTTCGACAACAAAAAAAAAAAACGTTTTTGTATGACAAGTGACAATTATAGCACCTTGTTGAAAGAAAATCTTATAAATCCTACCCATTTTTTTTGGGTCTTTTAAATTAGTTGTTAATGGCTATAAATGCAGCAGCATAAGTTCCGTTAGCGTACGCTAGATGTCTCGGCGACACGCTTCTTTATCCGGCACTTGAAAACGAACTACTCGTAGCCGTATCTGCAGTTATAAGAACCGCGAGCTGCGAGACCACACAAGACGAATACCTGGGGGCCGTTGCCGAAGCCCGCCTGGAAATGCGATACTTTCTTGTGGTTTGACTTTGTGTGATTGATTTAAATAATAATTTACATTTACGTCTTTATGTACCGGGCGAGTTGAAAAGGGTTTTCGTTTGACAAATTAATTTGATAATTCCGAGCGAAACGAAAATAACAAAATCAAAGTTTTAGTAAAATGATCGAAATTGCTTATTTATAATTAAAATTAACTACTTATATTATTTTAATGTCTGGCTAAAGCACACCAAATTTAACCAAAAATTAAAACTGTGCTGCTGTTTATTTGACAAAATCGATTCTACAGAATTTTTCAAACTTTGATCCAACGTCCTCGTAATAATTGAGGCCGGGATATGATTGTTTTCCCAGAGCGCTTCAACATCCTAATTACAATTATTACATTATTTTAAGAAATATCCATCATCCTTCATTCGCGTTCGAGGAACGAACTTTCCTCTGATTTAAGGTGGCTGCGCAGGACCTACCTTTCTAGGAAATATTCATTTCAGTTGCAGTTATTTTTTAAAAAGAAAAATGTTCTAAAGTTATGAACTCGATATAGGGTGTTCAAATCTCGAAACGCGTTTAGATCAAAGAATGGAACTACAAACATCCTCTAAACATTAGCTGCAACTTCTATGAGAGGTGAAAATGCCGACTGTACATGTACACATCTTCCTACACTGGGGTAATTCAATATCTTCCTTTGTTCCTCATGATGTGACCAAGGTATTGAAGTTTGCGAGCATTTGACGATGTTCACTATTTCCGTGGAGGTTTTCATTCTATGTAACACTTCTTCATTAGTAACCTTCTGGGTCCATGGTATCTTCAAGATTCTCCTCAAGGCTTGGAGTTTGGACATGGTTTCCTGTTTTAAGGTCCATGTCTCCATACCGTACAGAAGTAACACTTTAGAACCCTTTTCTTTATTTCCAGTTAGAAGTTGTGGCTTTTGAAAACTTGACCCATAGCTAAGAAAGCACTTTTAGGCTTTCTAATTCTGCACCAGATCTCTTAAGAATTGTCCCGCGATTTATTAATTATATAACATCTACACATAGTAATGAAAAATATGCATTTGGGGCTAGCCAGCGCTTTACTAAGTAGATACGCACAATTTCACTTTACCAAAATATTTTTCATAGTATTCATTTAAATCCTCTTGGCGTTAACGACCAGAGAGAAATAGTGCATTTAACAATGACATTATTTCCAAGAAACACAAGTCCTTAATATTTCTGTGTTGAATACCGGTCAAATTGTTTAAATTGGTTTTGCGCAATTTAATGTGTGGGATAACCAGTTACAATCATCCTATGACTTCAGTTTTCATAAGTAAGCTACACTTAACGTGACATCGCACAGCATAAACTGAAAGTTTTGACATTTCCAAACGCACAACGTGAGTGACTGAACCAAATCATGAAAAATCCGTTCTATCTCTACAAGCATGGTAAGCAAAACATTCATTCATTTGTTTATTTGCCAGTTTCCACTCGTTTTATGAATGTGTTGTTGTTTCCTTTGGATCTTGGTCTTTGAGATTCACAGCAAGTAGATCTCTTCTGCGGATACCAATTTACCATCATCGGCTTTTAAAAGTCTAAGTGCGTTAGTTCAGTTCAGCGCCTAGGTTGATCTACTGGGCCAATACAAAGAGGGACAAGGGAGAGTTTATTTATATCTATCATTTTTGGACACTTATTCACTTAGCACGCCACAAACTCGACACCACATTTGTCACATCTGTTTACAGAAAACACTTCCAAAGACTGTATAAAATGATTTAAGACCATTTGTTTCGGCACGTAGAGGTGAATTAGGGCTCGAACGCAAACGGAGCGTATATCGTAACTAGCTTTCACTGCCGATAAAATTTGAAAGCGCCCAATACCATTAACGTGTCAGCGAGCCACTTATATTAAAAATAAAATCTTCAAAAAGCGTGGAAGCGAAATTTGTCGAAGGAAAAACGCTGCCAAGTTTCAGCACCGCGTTTAAGTGTTTTTTAAACGATTAATTTTGGATATGCCTCTGATACTTTACGGTCCGAATAGTTTGGGCTTTTTTTACACGACGTAGTCGATGGTATTTTTCGAAATTAACAGTTTGGCTTTGTGTTTCAGCGCATCTATGTTGATAATTAAATAAATAAAATAAATAAAAAAATTATTGACCACTATTTTAAAACCAATAAAAAAGATATAAAACATTAGACCAAACATTTTTTGTCGGTAAACAAACGTAGTAAAAAAACGATTTACATGTAAAAATTGGACCTTTTCACGTTATAAAATATCAATATTGAACAATATAAGTGCAGTTTTCTTCAAACGTCTAACGGCATTTAAAAATCTTAAAATCCTTAAATTACTTCAAGTGAATTTTCATTTTTCTGTAAAAAAAATATTTAAAAATTTTTTACGAAATTTGCACTCCCTCTACAAAATTTTGTAGAAAATTTGTGAAGTTGTATATTTTTAAGAAAAATGTTAAATTTCAGATTTTTTTGTAAAATGTGAAAATTATAAGTTAACTTATTTCTCAAAAGCTAATATTAACCAAAACGAAATTTTGTAAAAAAAAAGAGAATTTACAATTTTTTTACGAAAAACTAACCAAAATAGAACTTTGAGTACGTACCAAGTTTTCTAAGTTTTGTCCTATTTTCCCATTAAAAAAATCATGAATAACGCAATCAAAGCGCTTGGACAGATGACACGGCGATAAAACGCTGTGTTCACCCCTCTCCATGGCTGAAGTTGACGTCCAAGTGCTTAAATTTTAGAGTTAGAGACCACCTACGCCTTCGGGTCGGGTGTGTGAAAGAGAAAACGCGGACCTTTTCCTTATCATGTCCATCAGTCTTCGGGAAAAAATGTCATCGGACTACCACTTTCGTGGTGTTATTCATTATGTTAATGACGAAGATTAATCAGTGGCCATTGTCTTGCTTTTTCTCAGTCGCGGCACTTCTCGTTTATAATTAGGTATGGGCTACCGTTTTGGAGTTATAATCTGATAAAACCATATAAGAAATATTTTTGGGTTGAATTATTTATCAACATTGTAGTTCATGGTGAATTCATTTTTTCAAATTTTTCATTTTTTTTTTATTTTTTTGAGATTTATATGCTTTAAAAAATATATGTCCAATATTTCAAAAAACATTAAATTAACCGAATATTACGCCTTAACCTTTTTAATGAATTAAATCAACAACTCTTTGGTAATAATACCAAAAATAAAACCAAAACTAACATGAATAACGTTAATATTACCTTATATAAATACCTCCTTCAGAAAATACTGAGTTGATTTAAGAAACATAAAAAAAAATTACATGATTATATCATAAACAGTTGTCAACTGATTTTGGAGATTTTGGAGTTATTTAAAGTTTTAGCAAGTAATACTGAGGTATCAAGTTAAATTTTTTGGAACCCTTTTTGTAGGAGTAATTTTCGATTACGCTTTATTAACCAAATTAACGGTACTTTTTACTATTTACTCTAGCAACTAGCCTATACATTTTTTTGAAAAGTTCAGTATTAAAAAACTCAAGTACCTACTTTAAGCAGCTTGTTTGATTTTTCAAAACTACTGTTTATTTTGTTTATTCTTTACGCTGATGTCTATTTGATTAACCCAATTTTGACATAACCTTAATTAGGTGTACGAAATTTGACAATTACTTCGATGTGTGAATTAGCTTTTTAATCAAATCCCCATTTTCTCTCTAGGGAGTTGTTAAAATAATAAATTATCTTTCCGACCAAGGTATATATCATCAGACACGCATCTTACATGTTTGGAGTCTATTAGAATACGTTCTGTGGAAAACGTCCACTAATTATTGTATACTTTTTTACTTTACAATTATTATTTATTATTATGAACAGAAAAAGTTTCAAATTACATATGTTATCAAAAGAGGGGATTTAAGAATTCAAAAATTTTATGGCAAAAATGATTAAAAGGGCAGGAAGGCCAAAAATTTCCAAAGAAATCAAATTTAGACGGGTCATACAATGTGTCCAAATGCTACGGGTTGGATAAAGTAGCAAAATTGCGAAACAATTACACAAAAATGCAAAAAACAGGAATATAAAATAAAAAAATTACAGTTAGTTACAACAAGAACACCTTTAGAATCTATTAATAACTAATAATGGGAAATATATTTAAATTAGTGTTGGGGCTGGTCAATTGACTACTTCTCAATTGTCAAAAAATGTTTTAAATAATTTCTTGCGATTGTAGAGTGTTATCTATCATTATTTAATAATAACCCTATAACCTATAACTCTCGTCAAGGAATATCCAAATATGATACTTAGCGATTCGGAGAATCCCAATAATAATGTCGACTCCATTTAGTTCTCAGAACGCGACGGCAAAAACAACGCATAATATAAATAAAAATAAATAAGTAAATATAAATTTCATGCTATTTTAAAAATTATTATGGTCAATCTAAGCAGTCACCATCCTAATTTTAATCCATATTTTGAAAAATGAAGTTGCAACATGTTCTATTTAATTTTGTTTTTAAGGCATATCTTTTAATTTCAGGACCGCGATCGCGACGAATGAAGAAAATTCCGAATGCGAAGAGTGAAGAAAAAAGACCAAGGACCGCGTTTTCGAGTTCCCAATTGGCCCGGCTTAAGCAGGAGTTCAACGAAAACAAATACCTGACCGAGAGCAGACGTCAAAAGTTGAGCGCAGAGCTCGGACTGAACGAGGCCCAGATAAAGATTTGGTTTCAGAATAAAAGGGCTAAAATAAAAAAATCTTCCGGCCAAAAAAATCCTCTCGCTTTACAACTAATGGCACAAGGACTGTACAACCATTCCACGGTTGCTTGTGACGAAGACGATATGCCGATGGCAACCTAGATCCGCAATGATGGAAAAATTATAAGTTATATTTATTGATTTTGTATATATGATGTAAATAGCTGAAATGATCTCATAATTTATTTTCGATGTAAATAGCGCTACGAATTTCTGTATCGATCGTATTTCAACACGGCTATTTATTCATATGCATGTATGTACCTGCTTCGCTGTTCACTAAATCGATTATTCAAGAATAGTCGTTCCAACATTACTTTCAAAATTTCATATGCTGCAGTTCCAATTTCGACAACCATATCTCAAAAACTGATCATAGGATTCTTTAGAACTGCACTGAAATTTTCATAAAAATTAATTATAAGCCATATTCCATAAGGAATCCAAAGAAAATGTATCACTTTCCATGTGACAACGCAGTTTGTCGCCAACGTATGTTTTATTGTAAAACTGTACTTTATAGGAGATAGAGATTAGAGACTTAGAAGTTAGAATACCGCTATACCCAGCCAGTTTTAAACATATACATAATAAATAAGCTACGTTGTTGTTTATTACCTAAAAAGAAACCTGTTCAAAAGTAGACTGAATTTAAAACTCTAACGATATGTTTTGTGCAATGTTTGTGTAAATATTTGTTAATATAGGCTCTATTGAAATTGTTCTTCCGATAGACTGTTGTTTCATTTACCTTAACACGCATTTTTGCAATAAAATAGTCAGACCAACTTTGAATTTGAAATACTGCTTAAGCTTATTTATTGATTATTATTTTTACTTAATATCTTGAATAGTTTTGAAGATGTTTTTCTCAAACAAATAATATGTTGTCTATGTAATTTCAATAATTTCGAGGGTGTTTTCTAAGTGAATATCAATAATAAAGGAGGCAATTTTTTGGTCCTTTTTAAAAAAAGAAAACTTCATATGAACTTATGTCCTAGACGTCTTAACAGTGTGGTAAACTTTTCAAAAATAAAATATATTTTTTTAATATCTGTAATACTACTTTAGATATTTTAATGAAATTTGGAACAACGTGCAATATATAAGGAGGCATTATTTAGTGTACCATATTTTTTTTAGAATACGCCAGTGGCGGGCGTAAGGAATTTCACCTGCCTATTGGCATACGCCACTGATTTTTCTCTTAAAATAAAAATAATTCCTCCAAACATTAAAAATAATTTTTTATTGATTTCTTCAATCCGATTTACGGTTTTCGCTTAAAAAAATAAAAATTTGAAATTTGAAAATCATGCAATGGACTAAACAAAATAAGATATCAAATCTGCTCACGAATGAATGCAAATATCTTTTTTTTACGGAAATCAGTGGCTTTCCACTGAGTGTGAATAAATAATATTTTGGTGAATTATCTTGCCACTGCACTGATTAAATCGACAACTTTTTTTGTGAAAAATATAATATCTGTGTAAAACAAAATATCTAGTTTTTAGGTACCAACTTTCTTCAGAATGAAAAATATTAGAATACTATTCTTTTAACTTTCACAGTTTTAATGAAGTAACATAACATCCTTACAACAAGATAAATAATTCGATTCTTATTTAAATTTATTTATTTATTTAAGTTTGCGTACTTCGTTTTCGAACTTCGATTTTTTGAAATATTTTATAAAACAGATATACAATTACTTAAGTAAGTAAGTAAGAAAAAATGATAATTCTCTGCTCTGCTCTGATATTTGAAATTTCGTACGCCCGCCATTGATGTATTTAAAAAAAAATGTATCTCTTGATAGATATAGTTATAGAATAGTTAAAGTTAAGACATTTAGGACATATGTTCATATGAAGTTTTCTTTTTGAAATGAACCCATAACTCGCACCCTTAATTATTGACATTCAATTAGAAAACACCCTGTATATATTTTTTTACTTAAACATCGTGCGTTTTCGATCACATTTGAATTCTAAAAATGATTTACCGGATATGCCAAAAGGTCAATATACAAAATTGAATAAGTAAATCCAAGTAAAACTGAAACAATGGGATTATCAAAAAACTTGATTTAATATATTTAATTATTATTTCATTCGTGTACAAGATGGAAAACTCATTCTTGTTTTTCTTCGATTTAAAAAGCGGGGTAGAGTATTTTTTATTTCATGTAGGTATGTTTATAATACGTTTATTATAACTATAACAGAAATCACGATTAATCACGCCTTATTCATAACACTGGAATACGAATCGAAGGTTGCTTATTCTTACTGCTTGTGCCGAGTCCAGACCAGACAAAACAAAAGTTTTGTTTTGTTTCGCTAGAAAGTAGCAATAAATCCTATACATTTCTGCAACATTTTTGTTTTGTTTCAAAATTCGGAGTCCTTTGCAAGTCCCATCTTGAGTCCGTAAAGATTCTTTGTTATATTGTTCGCATATTTTATAAGAAGTCGTCGACGTAGTGTAGTCGGTGTGCAGTGCCAGTGCAACATCACACAAATTTGGTTAGTACTAGTGATCTTAAAAAAATGTCGGGGAACAAAAGTGGAACGCAGAAAATAATTATTATAATTATTATGGAATAGGAACTACAAAAATGCCTACAAGAAAGCTGGTGCATTGCCAAATTTGTTTAGCTTTGAATATATACTCAGTGTTATACAACTGATTCCCAACAATAAAATCTTGTTGCACATTTGTCCTTGTAGTGTTCAGAGTTTGTCTCACGCCCGGTAGGTAGTAAAATGTATATGGATTCGTAAGCTATATCGCAAGTTTTATTTTAAACTGATGATGGAGAGTAATATTGCAAAATTTGATAAATTTCAAAATTTAATAACGTAGAAAATTATAGGTACAGTAGCTCAACTGTACAACATTCTCAATGGGCTGAAAACGTACTGTTCATTGAGATGCCAATTAAAACATTATATAACTAGAACTAGCTTACAATATACGTATTTTTGGACAAATTGCTCGAGGCTTTCGCGGGTTGATTCAGGTCTATACATCGGAGATGCAAGAACGTCTGAAGAAGCTTGCGACTCGTGCTAGCGAAACATTAGGAAACGACGATAGAAAAACAACAGTTTTAATCCCTACTATATCTGACCGACGCGACGCTACTGATTTTCTTACCAGTTAATATCGTTTTAATTATCTAATTTAGTTAATGCTAATTTTTTATGATAATTCAAAACATTATTACTTCCTTCAAACCCGTATTTCATCAGCGCAAAAAAGATATCCAATATGATCTGAACAATAATCGGGAAACTTTCACAGCATATTCAGTAATTCCATGTAAACGTCTGTCGCAAATGCTTCGTTTGGTGAAAGAAAAATTTAAATGTTGGGAAAAAAATCGTTTATCCATCAATCTTCCAGCCCTGTATTAAATACGCCACAGGAAGCTTCTAAACAGTTACCACAAACCGTTAATATCAAACCAAATGTTGCAACTACTAAATCAAAACCAATAACCCGTTTACAGTTAAGGATTACAGACCGTAAACATTCTATTTTCGCAAGGCTTACTTCATCCCTCTATATCTCCTTGACAGAAGTCACATCCCTAAGGGGAACATTTGTCCCTAATTAGAGCAATTGTGGGGTAGTTAGTAAAACGTCGGGGCCATTAGGAGGGCATTTTAGCTGGGAATATATGATCCCGTACTTATTTAGGGCCATTTAAAAGACCGCCACCAGTTAGGACCTCGTTATATTTGGCAAATGGCCACTCGCTTATGCGACAATAACTGGTCAGGCTTTTAATACGTTCTTTGTAAATATTATGTTAGGATTGCAGTAGTCAGAGCGTTTCGTTTTACTTTTAAAAAGTTTTATATTTCGTTTGATCGATCCAACAAAATGCAGCTACTTTCATTAAGATGAAATATTCGCCGCTCAGTTTTGGAACCAGTGCTCAATAAGTATCACGAGTATCTTAGATATAGATAATGTGTACTAACAAGAGGTTTGGTATATATTACTCAGAACTTGTTTAATAACTAGAGTTCGGATTTGAAATATTTCTGGTTTTTCCAAAAAATATGTCAAATATATGCTTTTTTCTACCCTCTGTATACTTTCATGCCCTTTATTTTTTTCCTATATTGTTCACTGAAAATCAAGTAAAGAATAGTCAAACAATGAAAAAAATTATAACATTATATTTACAGTTTTTAGACATAAAAATAATAATACTTAATTAGAAGTATTTATTAGCATTAACAAAAAATAAATTAGTGATTTATACTTATACCTAACCTATATTAAACCATTATGGTAAAAACTATTTAGTTTTACAATGCTGTTCTAAATTTTCTATGGTTAATTTTTGTCTTTTATCGCTTAAGATACTTTTGTACTTGGAGAACGTCTGTCGACCGAAGTACTTGGTGCGAATTTAAATGATGCAAGATGTTCTGGTTCCAAATAATGTAATGTATTATCAACCGTCGCATCTAGTAATCAATTTTTTGAAATTTCAAGTAACTTTTTTGTTGTTACACTATTAAATTTATCAAGAATAATTTTCCCAATTTTGCTTGGAACTTTTTTCAACAAATGTTCGCATTCTTCTACTATTGAAATTGAGTCTGACAAAGACATTTATTCGGTCTCCAATTTTTTATTAAAGCCGCTTAAAAACTGAAATTAGCTTTGACATATGTCAACTGATCTATAAGTTCACATTTTTCATATAAATTTTTAGTGTTTTTAATTGAATCAGCTGAATCTGAAAAGAAAAGTTTGTTAAAATCACATTATTAGAAATTTTCTATATTCGTCTCTACAATCTCCCGCTTTACTGTTAGTGTGTCGTCCATTATCCTTGTCATTTCCACGATTGGAATTGTCGGGATAAAGGTTGTCACATTAGTTAGTGACATGATCTCTAATTAGAATTATTTGATAGATCTTAAGTTTATGATGTGCAGCGTTTTTCGAATTTCCCCTCCTGTTGTTTTTCAAGTTATATTTAGCTATAATGCAGTTCGTTTCCAAGCAAATATCTGGAAGTTCCACCCAAAGTCAACAAGTCATATACCAGTGATTTCTTTTTAGCAACAATTCCTCCACATTTCACTAGACAGGTTATTAGTATCTTGAAATTGTTATGTTATTAATTTTATATAATTTATATATTAAGTTTATGTTTATATTTTCGATACACTGGAATATGTTGTAGGTTTCTGCAGAATAGTTTTGCTATAGGTTTTTGAATGTCTGACTCTAAACTCATAGATTAGAAACACTGAAAATATTTTCTAATGCATTCCATACTAACCATTCTTCTGTACACCTAGACAACTTTTAGATATTTTTCAACATAAAAGATTATTTTGGTTAGTTTTGGTTAGTTTGACATTAACAGCTAGATGCTTATCTAAACTTGTATTTACTGTCTTATGATAAGACCGACACCTTTTGTGCTTAGTACAGAATCGGTATTTATAGTCGACTATTTCAGAATCTTTCAGAATACCATCGCCGTGCTTATTTAAACCAGAACGCGTAGCTTTTCTATTGCACCGATGGAAATAAGGTATTTCGAATATTTCTCTGCAATTTTCCCCACCTTG